GGTGCAAGCCATCTGCCGCGGCCCAGCTGGCTCGACTCTCGTCGCCATGGCCTCTCTTCGCCTTCTTCTGCTGGGGTCCTGGGCCTTTACGGCCCTGGGCCAGCGGCTCGACTGTTAGTCTGTTAGTGGCTTAGGATGGCTTAGGCTTGGGCCAGGGGGCCTCTCTTGTTCTGTTGTTCTGTGAGCTGCCAGGCAGTGCGATTGCGGCCAATGCCCCAACTATGATTGGACGTCCACATGCTTCGACAACTGCACCGTGACGGGAGACCCGCACGTGGAGCACAGTTGGCGCAAAGGCTACGAGAACGGCTTCGACTTCCAGCCGCAGGGAATCTGGCGCCTGGCAAAGACGGAGACGTGTGGCGGCACGGTGGAGGTCCAGGCTTTCTTTTGCCAGTACTTCTTCACCAGGCTCAGTTCCGCCATCGGCTATGCCATCACCATCAACAACGGCGACAAGTACATCGTGAAGAGGGTCGGCGACGACTACGTGATCGGCAGCCCCAACGTCGAGAGTGCAACCCTGAAGATCCTGAACGACAACACTACGGACCCTGCAGCCGGAATCATCATCACGAGCACCGACAACTGCATCCGCATCAAGCTGAACACCCAGCCTTTGTACGGGCGTGCTGCGCAGAAGAAGTTCACTCCCAACGCCTACTTCAACAACATCGTCATCAAGGTCTGGGGTTGTGCGACGACGGAGGAAGGCATCTGCGGAGCTGAGCGCCTGGGCCTGCTTGTGCCCCATCCCCTCTAGGGCCTACTAGGGCAGCTGGGTCTCTGGCCCAGCCTCCCAAGCACCGAGGAAACTCTCAACTCAGTACATTGACCCTGAGAGTGACGCGAACCTCTTCAAGACGCCGCTCGGCTACGGGAGTCCCTCAGGGCCATGCGCTATGGGCGCGGCGCCGTCACCCCTAAGCCTGCATGCCCAGGCCGGACAACGAAAACCTTTGGCAGGACCTCTGCGAGTTCTGCCAGGAAGAAGGCGCCTCGGGCTAGCTGGCAGCCTTACAACGGACTCTGGAAGTTCATGT